AGGCCAGTAAGAACCGGGCAGGCTAGAGGGAGTGGGTGGGGCTTGGTCAGGGTTAGGGGTGGGAGGAATTACCCAGAGGGGCTTTCTGCACAGGGGCACCCCTAACAGGGCCAGGCTGTGTAAGAAGTGGTGTTTGTTGGTCTTGTCAAAGAGCTGCAAGAAAAGGAGAAATGGGGGGACTTCCTAAGCAACGAAGGATCCCGGGGGGACACAACGGACAAGAGTTCGTCCTCCAACCCCACCTCTCAAGTCCCAGCTTGCCCCTCCGTCAGGCGCCCAGGCCTCAAGAGTTGCATACCTTACCGCTACAAAGGCCCGCGCCCTGTCCCTCCCCTACTTCCCTCAGGGACCCCAGACTTTTTGCCCTCATAGGCCCCGAAGCCGAGGACCCCAGGGCAGTTACTTCACCTCCTTCCCGTAGGCATCCGGAAACTGGGCTCCTGTGGAAAGGAGAAGCAAAGGTTACCAGTCCTAGCGCCAACCTCGACCGCCCCCACTCCCAGGGGGACCCAGGTGGACGCAGGCGAGAAAGGGCGCCCCCAGTAGGCTTCTAATTGGTGGAAACACGCATTGGGCAGTTCTGGGAACCAACTGGGCCGGGCTGAGGGACTTTAAAAGGTTTAGGGCTCCGCGGGTCGTCTGGTCGATGGGAGGGCCGACACTTCCCATAGACTCCGCCTCTGCACCAGACCCTAAAGATCGCCCCCAACACAATCCCAGCTCCATCCCCAGCCTCCTGACCGTGCGCCCCGTAGGAGGCCAAGCCTAAGGCCCCAGCTCCAGACAAGGCGCCCAGGCGGCGGAAAGCAGCCCCCGAACCAGCCATGGCAGTGGACGGTCACGCGCCGGACGAACACCGCCTGGGCCACCCAAGAGGCCAGCCAATCCCGATCTCCCATGCAAATAAAGTCCACATGTGCCCAATCCGGTCCGTGTTCATTTCAGCGTCCAGGTCCTCACCCGGGTACTTGGGCCTTTGTAAAACCTCTGTTGAGTGGCGAAGACTTCTGGCGGGCGGAGAAACCAGAACCAATTAGGAGCGGAGGAGCGGAGCAGTGGAGGCGGGGTTGGGGGGGCGGGACTAGAGGATTTGCGTCACGGATTGGCCCACTTTCCAAGTTGGTAGCCTCTTTTAACACCTCGCCCCCCCCCACCTCCGGCCAATTTCCAAAGATCCCGGTCCCCTTGCAAAGTTCCGCCCCTTTCCCCACAAGCTCCTCCTTTTCAGCTTTAAACCAGACCCACTCCCAAAAAGAGGCGGCCTCACGGATAGCCAAGCCCCACCCACCACCGTTAAACCCTGCCCACTACCCAAATGGCCCCTCCTCCAGAACCGAAGGCTCCGCCTTCATACGATGTCCCGCCCCTTAGAGTTCACCCCCTCCTTCCTTCCCCACCCCCCGCACTAACTGCGAGAACCCGGAGGTGGGAGATAACGGTGTGTGTGGGGGGTGTCTCCACCCTGCCCTGCTGGCCTGCTTCGTCCATCCGTCGGTCTGTCCACTCCCGTTCCCTTCCACCTTCTCCAATCCCCCCCACACTCTGGAGGGCGGGCGGGCAGGCGGGTGCGAGCGAGGGGTGTGCGCCGCTCTCTCGGCAGGGGGCGGGGGAGGCGGCCGCGCGGTGACGCGCGGGGCTGCTGCGGCTGCTCAGCCGGCGGATCATCACTCTCTGGCTGGGATGGACGCGGGGCGGGCGGGCCCTGGCGCGCGGGGCCAGGAGTCCGGGCCTCCCGGCTGCTGAGCGTTGCCCGAAGCCTACCCCTTACCTCCGCTTTCCCTCCTAGAATCTGTGCCGACCCCCGCCCCGGGGCTCCAGACTCGGCTCCCGCCCTCCTCTGACTCCCCGGACCTCCCCCTCCCGCCCGCCCTCGGGATCGACTAGATCCCTCCCCCTCCCTGAGGATTCCGGCTGGATCCCTGCCCCTGCACCGCGGATCCTGCGCTCCCGGGTTTTGGCCCCCTGGGGATTGCCGTGGACTCCTCCTCCCGTACCCGATCCCTCAGGATCCTCCGCCTGTACCGCCTTTCGGTCCCTCGAAGCCAGCCCACGGAGCCAGTGGATTCCCAATCCAGCCCTGTCCCGTTGCCTCCTCCTCCCTCCGCCGTCCCCACTGCGGGGTTCCCTGTTCTTGGGCTCCTCCTGACCCCATCCCCTACCTCTCCTTTCCCCGGGGATCGACTGGATCCCGGCCCCGCCCCCGGGGGCTGGGGCGATCTCCCTCCCCCGCCGGGTGAGGCGCTGCGGGCGGGGGCTGGGCCTGCGGGGCCGCGGGGGCTCAGAGGCCGCCGCCCCCCTCCCGAAGCCCGTCCGCCCCCTACTCAGAGCCCTGGATGGAGGCACCACGGCCCCAGGGCTGAGCCAGGTAGGAGCTAAGCCGGGCCGGGTGGAGGGGGCTGCGTGGCGGTCCATTGGGGTCTCCCCCTCCCCATCTCTCTCCCTGCGCCTGGTTTCCCCCAGCTTGCTCTGTCTGCGTGTCTCCGCCTAGGGATGCTCTCGCCGTGTCTCTGCGTCTCGGTCTCTTTGTCTCTGCCTCTCTCCAGCCCATGAATGATCCTTTGAATGGGCCCACAGACCCCGTGTGTTCCCATCTCCCCCTCCCCCTCCTTCTCCCCTTCCCGGCCAAGCCATTTTCCCCACTGCAGGAAGAAGGGGGGGAGCTATGGCCTGAGCCCCCGTCCCTCAACTCTCTCTGACCGGGGGAGTCAGGCCTGGGCAGGAATGGAGCGAACAAGGCAGAGGGATGGGGGGGGGCAAGATGTGGCAGACAGAGATGAGGAGAGCAGGGGAGAGAAAATGGGGGAGACAGAAATAGGGAAAGAGAGAGAGAAATAGAAGGGGCTTGAGAGAGAAATTTGGGGAAGGGATTTGAAGGAGACAGAAAAATGAGAAACACCAAAGAGGGAGGTGTAGAAGAGAGAGAGATGAAAGAAGACTGAGGGGCGAGAGACTGAAGGCAAGAGCTGGAGCAAGCTGGAAGAGGCCGTGGAAAGATGCTCTGAGGGAGCGCTATGGAGAGGAGAGAGATGGGGGGGAGGGCTCCAGTGGGAGGGAAGAAGGGAGAGAAGCTGGCAGGGAGGAGGCCAGGGGCCCAAAGTACCTTAAGGGAGGGGGGTGACAGAGGCAGACCTTGTTCGCGGGAGGCGGAGGGGGCGGGTGGGGGAGGGGCGGCAAGGCCATGGAAGCAGAGTCCAGCCTGGCATAGGCAGAGGAGAACCTGGAGGAGCCAGCCCCAAGCCCCCTCCAGGTGGTGGGGGAACAGGAGCTTAAGAGGGCCTGAAGAAAGGGAGGGCATGACTGGGTGTGTGTGGTAAGGATTCCTGTGTCCTCATCTCTGGAATAAATTGACACCTGCAGAGAGCCAGCCGCGGGCTGGTGCCTGGCTCTGAAAACCCCGCGTCAGCAAACAGCTCTGGCGGCGGGGGGGGGTGGGGGACGGGGGGGCTTGCTGAGATGACCCTGGTGTCTGCCCCTTCAGTCCGATCTGTTCCCTTGTCCTGCTCCTGCTGCCCTGAGCACCCAGGCATCAAGGCAGCAACTGTGGGGGCTGGCAAGGGGAAGGGGAGGTGAATAGCTGGGATGGGATGAGAAGAAGCCAAGGTTTGTCCCCAGGGCATGGGTCAAAATGCCATGCATAGAAGAAGAGGTGTCTGGGGTTCAAGGCTGTTCAAGACTGTGGGAGGGGAGCCATTGGTGGGTGCATCTGATTCTCCTTAAAGCCACCTCAGCAACCCTTCTTCCCAGCCAGAGGCCTGGTCACTAGGGCTAGTTCTGACTGGCCAACAAGGGGCAAGAGGCAGCTCTTTTAGGGTTCTCTAGGCCCCTAGTCTCCAGCTCCCCTCAACACATATACTTCTCCCTCTATGCGAAGGCTGGGGGAAACTCTAGCATTCTGACTCATGTCTCTGCTCTCCTCCTCATGCCCTGAATGGACCCCATAACCAACCCAGACCCTTCCCGTCTTCCTCCAGACCCCCACCCCCACCCCCACTCCAGGGTTAAAGCTGCAGCCCGTTGCCGAGGTAGCATTGCGGGGCAGCATCCTGTCGCCCGGCAACCGGCTGCAGAATCACGCACCTGTCCCCGGATTTGCCCCTCCAATATCCCCTCCCCATCCCCTCCCTGCCTCAAGGCACCTTAACTTCTGAGGGGAGAAATGGAGAGGCCCTGGGGTGCAGGGGTCTCCCCCACTACACAAATCCTTCTAGAATGAGATGTTGAAGGGAGGGTAAGGTGCTGGGCTTGTGCAGTCCCAAGAAAGACCCAAGTCTGGCCTGGGGTGGGAGTTCAGTGCCATGAAATTACAGCTCAGGAGTGATTAACACGTATAAACAAACCCACCACTTCCTGCTAATTAATGACTTGGTATTTTTATTTTCTCTTCCTTGTCTGTCTCATCCCTCCCAGGGAGGTGGGAACTGGGACTCCTGAGTCCCTGAGGAGAACATGCCTGGGAGGGATAAACAGCTGGAAGGGGAAGTACTGGGTCTGGGGAGCTGACCCTCCTTCCCCTCTGATGGTCCTAGATGTTTAACACATCTGGACCTCACCCCAGCCTCAGACTTTTCTATCTGGGTCCCTGCTGAGGGGAGGGGGTGGCTGGGGTGGGGGGGAGGTGTCAAGGGGCCAGAGGATGGAAGAAGGGGGACAACTTGGTCTGAATTCCGAGTCACTAACCACCTGTCTCTTCTGTTTCCCCATTCCTGTCTGTCTGCCCCGTCCAATTTCCCTTCCCTTCTTGCACCTCTTCTCTGTATTTTTCTGTCCGTCCGTCTGTCTGTCCCTCCTCCCCGCAGGTTGGGCCTGCCTTCACCTTCTCCCACTTCCTTCCCCTTCCCCACCCCTCGCCCCCTCCATGGAGAGGAACAGACCCCTTCTCTGTCCCGTCTAACCCAGGTCCCTCCCCACCCCCCTCCTCCCTCCCTTTCCCCCGCCCCCTCCTCCCTCCTGGGGCGAGGGGGGCCTCCCTCCCTCTCCCCCCCCTTCTCTCTCTCTCCGAGGGGGGGGGTCCCGGGGAGGGAGGGGGGGTCCCCCGATCAGCATGTGGCTCCTGGCGCTGTGTCTGGTGGGGCTGGCGGGGGCTCAGCGGGGGGGAGGGGGTCCCGGCGGCGGCGCCCCGGGCGGCCCGGGCCTGGGTCTTGGCAGCCTCGGGGAGGAGCGCTTCCCAGTGGTGAACACGGCCTACGGGCGAGTGCGCGGCGTGCGGCGCGAGCTCAACAACGAGATCCTGGGCCCGGTCGTGCAGTTCCTGGGCGTGCCCTACGCCACGCCCCCCCTGGGCGCCCGCCGCTTCCAGCCGCCTGAGGCCCCCGCCTCGTGGCCCGGCGTGCGCAACGCCACCACCCTGCCGCCCGCCTGCCCGCAGAACCTGCACGGGGCGCTGCCCGCCATCATGCTACCCGTGTGGTTCACCGACAACCTGGAGGCGGCCGCCACCTACGTGCAGAACCAGAGCGAGGACTGCCTGTACCTCAACCTCTACGTGCCCACCGAGGACGGTAAGGGCGCGGGCACCTGGCCGGGCCCCCGGTGGACACAGCCCACAGACATCCATGCACACCCTCAGGCGCCGGCAGGCCCCGGGCCGGGAGCTGGGCCTTCGCCGGGGCCGTGAGGGGCAGTGCGTCCCGGCGGGCTCTGCGTGCCCTCCCAGGGTGGTACGGGTCCCTGCCAGGCAGTCCCAGGAACGAATCCCACAGTCAGCCCAGAAGCTCTTTGTGCGCCCAGAGAGCCGATGGCGAGGGCAGCAGGACTAGGCTGGGCCTACCCACCCGCTGCCCACAGAGGCACACACAGAGGGGACACTGAGGGCGATCAGGTGGTGGAGGCATCCATCGTCAGCTGTCTAGACAGCCACTCCGGCTCTGACCCATCTCCTGCGCCCAGGCCTGGGCTTGTCCCCAGCCACTACCCCCTTGAGCTCCACCTCCACCTCAAGGACAGCAAAGACTCCTTCTCCCCAGGCCAGCATGGGCAGACGTCCTTCTGTCCCATGCAGGGTCCCTCACCTGAGCTGAGTGCCTCTTCCCCAGGATGCTCTGTCCCCTGATCGCTATACACTCCCGAAGGATCAGGGAAGCTCCTTGCCAAGGGCCCCTCCACTCACAGCACAGCCCTCCCATCCCCAACAGAACACCTTCCCCGGGGCTCCAACCTGGCTCTTCTTGACAATGAACTCTCTAGTTCACTGCGGCAGTGCTCTAGTCCCCAGCAGCAGTTTCCCACCGGACAGTTCCCCCCAGCCAGCCTCCAGCACATCGAGCCCAACCAGTGTCAGTACTTTCCAGCAGCCCATGGCAGAGGGTAATCAGCAGGCCTGCAGCCACCCCGACAGACCATCCTCACAAAGAGCCCCCACGTTATCCTTCCTACTCCCCGTGTCACCACTCCAAAACACCCGACACACACAGAGACCATCCACTCTGATAACACCCGCCACAGGCCATTTTCCAACAACTTTACATATAGGCTTGGTACCCAGGAACCCCACTGTACACCCTACACACCCAACACCCACACATCATGAACTCAAGTCCCACTACAAGACCAGGAATTTCAAATACTCAACACTCAGGTCAGGTACCCAACCGACCGGCACACTGACCTTGTGCTCTAGAATCCCACATATCAAAATTCCCAGCACCTTCACACAGCACGGACGCCAACACTTCTCTGGAATTGTGTACCCTGTCACCCATATAGACTTGTGCTCCCCAGTATCTCTGGGTATAGATCATGTGCCCTAGTAACACCCATACGCAGACCTTTACCCCAGTAACCCTGCAGCTGGACCACGTGCTCCAACAGGCTACTCACACCACAGTCCCCTATGTTCTCAACACCTCTCAGACATTGCTTACCCCAACTCCTGCCTAGAGGTCATCAGTATCATACCTCAGGCTGTGACAGCACAGGTGGCAACCCTACACCCTACTCACAGACCAAGTACTCCAACACCTCGCTCCCTGCACCCAGAGGACATGCCAATCACAGGACACCTCATGCGCCTCAACACCATCACTACCCCTCCCCGTATAAGCCACGCCTCCTAGCCACCCATACACACAATGCACGGAAGTTTCTCCTCCAATCCTGTTCAGATTCCAAGCACTCTGATAGACCACTTACCCTAATACATTCCACACATCCTCCCCAATATCCCAGCACCCTCTGCCTCAGAGCCGTCCACTCTACCTTCCCTTGCCCTCTCATGGACCACCTACCCCAGTGCCCTCCTACCAGTGAATTATTCACCCTAGTGCCTCCAATAGGCCACCCATCTCAATGCTCTCCACTCGTGGACTCTCCACCCACATCTTCAGGTAGAAAGCTGTCCCGCCTGCAAAGCCCCTCTCAGTGGGCTATTGTCTCGTCACCCCTCATGTGAAACATTCACCCAGCACTTCCCACTAATGGACTGTCCACCCCAACACCTCCATACAAATTGCCCACCCTGCCCCCACCCCACCCATGCCCACACCTTCTGTATTTTTAACCATCACTTATTGCAGACCTGCTTGGGGCCTGACACATTCAGGTGATCTCACTAAATCACACCCGCTCTGAGAGGAAGACGTTGACTCAGGCGCGCACACACACACACACACACACACACACACACACTCATACACACACAGCCGCACACATCATATTCTCACACGCACACACGCCCTGCTGACTTCATCCCCATCCCTATCCTGTCAGAGAAGAACAGGCCCTGATCCTAATGGGTCCCCTTGGGGCCATCACCACCAGTTGGGAGAAGCCTTGCAGAGGCTGGCCTCAGCCTTACTGACCCATCCCTCCTCATGCTGGTCCCCAGGCCACTGAGGAGAAATTGATCAGCCTGGGGGAACCCCTCAGGTCTCTGGGTTCCAGCTCTCCCTTGACTAATCTCCCAATCTGAAAGAAGCCTAGAGCCAAACTCTGAGCCCAGTCTGAGGCCTTTCCTTGACGGGGCACACCTTGCGCCTCCCCGCACCTCCTGGCACCTTATGTGTCGGGCTGGCTCAGGGCACTGTGTTTCCTATTCCCTATTTGTGGACTGAACCCCCAATTGGGGAGGGGGGCTTTTGGCATTAGAGCAGGGGTTGGTGGGGGGCTGGCGCCCCTGGTGGGGAGTTCACCATCTGTGGGGGAGGAGAGCAGGCCTGGGTAAGGGATGAGGGTGGGGAGGGGGGTCAGAGGGAAGAGGTGGAGTGGAGGGCAAGACCTGATGACCCCTTTCCCTGCTTCACCCCACAGTAGGGAGATGGGGTGAGAAGTCAGGCTTGTGAGTGCGGATGGAAGAGAAATGCTGGCTGGTGAGAGGCTGGGAGGTGGGCAGGCATCCCTCACTGACCTCCCCCGCGCTGGCCAGTGGAGAGCTGAGGGCTTCCAGGGGCTGTGAGCTGTGGGGACGGGCTGCCCCAACCCCATCCTACCCTCTGCCCTCCAGATGGGTCCAGAGGGAAGCAGAGTCCTTTCTGCTGGAACCCCTCCTCTCTACAGCCTAGGGGAGTGGGCAGGTGCTTGGCTGGTCCTGAAGAGGGCCTGTGTGAGTGGTGGCGCCCCTCCCCGGGCGGGACACAGCTGGCCTTGGGCTCCCAGGCTCCCTGGTTGGCTTCCCCTCCCCTCCCACCCACCCCACCTCTAACACCGTTTCATTTCCAGCAATTAGCAAACACTTGGACAAGCCAAATCCTTTCCAGCCAAATCAATATGTCTTAAGACAGGCCTCAGCCCACTCAGGCACCCCACCCCCCCAAAACCAGCCTTTTCTTTGGGGCATGACTTTTTCCGGGGAGGGGAACAAAATTTGGGTTGTAGAAACGTTTTTCTCTTTTCTTGGTTTCTTTTTCTTGAAAACAAATTTTGCTTTTTTCGGCTTATTTTTTCTGCCCCTCACCCTCCCCTTTTCTGCTTTCTCTCCTCCCCTCCCCATCCACCACCTCCCCTCGACCCCCATCTTTCCCCACAAAATTGTCCTTTTTTCTCTGTTTTGTGTTCCCGGTCTTAGGTCCGCTCACAAAAAAACGTGACGAGGCGACGCTCAATCCGCCAGACACAGGTAGATTTAAAAATCCCGCTGCTGCATGTGGTTGCTGATAAGAGGACGCTCTCGGCCCTGCCCCTAACTAATGCCCTCACAGCCCTCAAGGCCCCTCAGTCGTTTTCCCAACTAAAAATGAAAAAGAAAAGAAAAGAAAAATTTGTAATAATTGGAAAAAAGAATTATGAAAACTTCAAACGAAATTTGAACAATGTTGGACCCACTAGAAAACCGGCAAGAAAAGCTTAAACATGGCGAAAATAAAGTGCAAAAAGAAATTGGAATGTCAGAAAAAAAACAAAAACCAAAAAACACCAAAGAATTGGATAAAATGTTTAGTTTGACAGACATTTGGACTGTTTTGAAACTTGTGAAATATAACATTTGAAAAAACAATTTTAATTTGGAGCAAAATAACATTTGAAAAAAACAAATTTAAGTTGGCAAATTGATGACACAATCGAAACAACAGAAACCTGCTACAGTTTCCAAAAAAAAGCCTGTCCGATGCAGAAAACGCACATTTGAAGCAAATTAAAGAATTTGGACATTTTTGAAAACAGGGCCCAATATCTTGAAGTTTCACCACAAAATTTTGAAAAAGTGCAAAGAACTTTTTTCTTTTTTTCTTTTTTTCCAAAAACGGATCTTTTTTGGTTTCTTGGTTTTTTGGGTTTTTTTTCTTTTCTTGTTGAATCTGCCCCGAGAGCTTCTTGTTTTTTGGTTGTTGTTTTTTTCTTTCTTTCTTCTTTCTTGATCCTGTTTTTTGTTGTTGGTTTTGAATTCTTGTCGCCCCAGCCCCCCTTCCT